AACAAGGAAAAATAACCAAATTTAATACATACATATGGATAGCCCACATACATGAGAGGTTCAGGGACAGAAAGGACAGATGAGTTATATATGTCATCTGCGCTAGGGATGAGGTCAGGTGCCTGAGGCATCCTCAAGACCCTAAGAAGAGCAGTTGTTCAGTAGCCTGCCCTGCCTTTTAGATAGGCCATAAAACATTATCTTTGGTGATAACTCTCATTATGGGCCAGGCCTCCAATTTAGATGCATGTAGGTGGTTAAGCAAGAGGCAGCAGTTTCTTGTGAGCCCATAGGGTCTTTTTTTTTTTTTTAAATGTCTTTATTGATTTCAGAGAGAGGAAGGGAGAGGGAGAGAGAGAGATAGAAACATCCAGGATGAGTAATTGATCGGCTGCCTCCTGCACACCCCATAATGGGGATAGAGCCTGAAACCAGGGCATTTGCCCTGACTGGGAATGGAGCCAAGATCTCCTGGATCATAGACCAATGCTCAAACGCTGAGCCAGTCCGGCCAGGCAAGCCCATAGGGTCTTGATGGCCTTCAGCTCAAAATAATCCACATGCCAAAGGGGCACATCTGAACCCCTTCAGAGGTAATGTTATAATTGAGGTGGGAATTATAATAAATATAATAAATATTCTATTCATCCTAAGTATAGTTTAAAATAATTATTAGAATTAATATTGCAACGATTAGAGTTAATGCTATAATTGGGGTGGGAATGGTAGCAAATATAATTATTATCGCAGGACTGGAATCAAGATTAAATGGAGCCGGGCCGGGCATGGCTCAGCGGTTGAGAATCGACCTAGGATCCAGGAGATCGGGGTTCGATTCCTGGTCAGGGCACATGCCCGGGTTGTGGGCTAGGAAGCCGATCAATGACTCTCTCATCATTGATGTTTCTATCTCTCTCTCTCCCCCTCCTTTCCTCTCTCTGAAATCAATAAAGATATGTTTTTAAAAAAAAAGATTAAATGGATTGCAGTTTTGCAGATGGGAATACTAAAGCCTGTGATAGGCAACCCTCACCCCAGTCTCAATCACTATACCCCTCCCCCCTGCAGAGACCCCCGGACAGTCCTGGTGGTGCTGGGGGCCCACACCCTTCGCACCTCAGAGCCCACCCAGCAGGTGTTCAGCATCTCAGCTGTCATCAGGCACCCCAACTACCAGCCCACAACCCAGGCCAATGACATCTGCCTGCTGCAGGTGAGCTTTGTAGGGGGAGGAGGGAGGAACACGGGATGTAAGTGTGACCTGTCCCTGCCACTCCTATGATGACTGGACATGTTTTAAAAATAGCTGAAGGATCCTGAAACACCTGAGTCAAGTTAAGGTTTTGCTCAAATGTCCCTTTCTCATGAGGCTTCCCCTGAAGACCCCCTCATCCTGCAACCTGCCCCTGTCCTGCTGTCCCTTCTCCCTGTTCTATCTTCCTTGTGTTTAGCACAGCCGTCACCTGCTAGCAGCACCTGAACATTTGCTACTTTACCATTGCTCACTGCCTCCTCTGGACTTGAGGGCAGGAATTTTTACCTTGTTTATGACCATTTATAGCACACAGCAGGTAGTAAATGTTCAGGCTGATAGGGGGAACAAATGAGACACTAGGGCCATGAAAGACCTCAATCCCCTGCCACTCGGGCCCTTCTTGGAGTTTTCTTTCCAGGAAGTGGCTCCTCCCATAAATGTGAATTTCCCTCTGCCCACCCCCCCATGAGGTGCATCCTTTCAAACCACCTCTCTGCAGCTCCCACCCAAGCACCCCAAATTCAACTCCAGGCACCCCCATGGCCTCTGTTTTAAAGAGAGACTGTCCCAAACTTGCCCTCCAAGTATGGTGAAAAGTTAAAATGGAGAGATAATATGACTAAATGGGTCCCTGGGAACAGGAGGGTCTGTGGTGGGAGGTTCTCTTGGCAAATAAAAAGGGTGCAGTGAGCCCAGCTGGTGTTGCTCAGTGGTTGAGTGTTGACCCATGAGTTAGAAGGTCATGGTTGGATTCCCGGTCAGAGCACATGCCCTGGATTCTGGCTCAATCCCCAGTAGGGGGTGTGCAGGAGGCAGCTGATTGATGATTCTCTCTCATCATTGATGTTTCCATCTATCCCTTTCCCTTCCTCTCTGAAATCAATAAAAACATATTTTTTAAAAAGGGAGGGCAGTGAGTGTCAGCAGCCAAAGCCTGGATTTTACTCACTTGTGGAACCACAAAGCCTGGAACCCGCTGCTCTGACTCACACATTCCATTCTGCAGATGGGGAAAGTGAGGTTGGGGGATAGCCAGGGATGTGCCCAAGGTCAGAGGGTGTGTACCAAAATTAGGGGCTCAAGTCATTCATTCCAAAATTGTTGATTGAGTGCCAGCTGTGTGCCGGTCAGCGAGGACATAGCCTTCGGTCTAACAGGGTGGCAGCTGGGTTAACTGGCCTTCACAGGGGCACATGGGAGCCCAGAGGAGGCACCTGCCCTAGCCTGGGAGTCTTGGAAAGCTTCCTGGAGAAGGTGATGTCTAAGCTGAGACCTGAAAGCTGGATAGGAAAGGTGCTCCAGGAGAGGGGTATAATATGAGTAAAAGTTTGGGGGTGGGCCCAGGACATGGCAGTAAATTCATTCTGACTGGAGGGCTGAATGAGGGGCAAGAGGTTTTATTCTGAGGGCAATGGGGAGCCATGGGAGGGCTTAGAGCAGGGAAGGAGATGCCAGTTAGAAAGACCCTTTGGGCAGCTGAGGAGGTGAGGGGCGGACACAGTCCTAGTTTGAGTGAGTGAGGGCTGATGGACAGGGGCAAGTGGTAGCAAGAGCAGTGGGTTTTCTGATGACCATTGCTTTCTCTCCATAAGGCCAGGAGAACAGATGTCACAGAGGGGTAAACTGAGGCAGGAGCAGTGGTGATGGTTTGGGTGGTCCAAAACTCAGTGTTCTCCCTGCAGCTGAACAGCTCTGCCATCCTGGGTCCTGCCGTGGGGCTGCTGAGGCTGCCGCAAAGGGGCACCAGGCCACTCAGGGCCGGGACACGTTGCAAGGTGGCTGGCTGGGGCTCTGTGTCCAACTTTGAGGAGCTGCCACCTGGGCTGATGGAGGCCGAGGTCCGTGTGCTGGACCTGGACGTCTGTAACAGCTCCTGGATGGGCCAGCTCAGCCCTGCCATGATCTGCACCCACAGTGGGGACCGACGGCGGCGAGGCTTTTGCTCGGTAAGATACTCATTTGCCATCCCTTCCACTTACCATATGGGGAAACCAAGGCCCAAAGAGAAGGGTAAGAGCTGGGCAGAGCCTTGGGAGCTAAGTCCCAGCTCACCTTTGACGAGACAGGCCTCACCATGCATGGCTGTGTGGGCTGTACAGTGCACAGAGCTACAGATTTGTGTATTTATAAACAGTATCCAGTAGGGGGCAGTAACAGATCTTGAGGAAAGAGCTCCTGCTCCTAATACCCTGTATGGTCCAATGGCAACCCTGGCCCTGGTGCAAAGGGAGAAACTCAGCCTGGAGGATCTTTTGTTTCAGGCAAGAGAGTTCAGTGGTTCAGAACACAGGTTCTGGAGACCAACTGCCTGGGTCCAAATCCAGACTGTGCCACTTTCCAGATGTTCGGCCTTAGGGAAGTCACCTCACTTCTCTGGACCTCACTCCATCTTCTTCCCTCCACAGAACTGCTTCCTCATAGGAGTAGAGCTGATTCCAGATGACAATTAGGGTGCTAGGACCAGGAGGTGAGGGGAAGGGAGAAAGCAGGAATTTTAGGGTGAATATTCATGAAGGCTTCTCTGAGGAGAGCACCTTTGAGCTGAGACTTGAAGGAACCTAAAGATCTGAGGGAAGGCATGCCAGGTAGAAAGATAGTCACAGGGCTGCCATGCACAGCTGTGCAGGTCTGTACTGCACAGCCACAGACTTCTATGTTTATACAAGCAGTGTCCTGTAGGGGACAGTAACAGGTCTCAAAGACACACAAAAGCTTAGAGGCTAGATGAAGTTTGCTTGCTCCAGGAACAGCCAGGATGGCTGGTGTGGCTGGAACCAGGTGAGTGAGGGAGAGAGAAGGGCAGACAGGTGGGTGGGATACTTAGGAACTTGAAGGCTGAAGTGAGGGGTTTAGTCTTTGCTGTAAGAGCACTAGGGGGTCATGGAAGGGTTTTGAGGGCAGGAAAGGGTCCTGATGGACTTTACATGTAGAAGCTCCTTCAGGCAAAGTGAGACTGAAAGAGAAGTCCTGACCTCACCTTTCCCTCCATCCCAGGCGGACTCCGGGGGGCCCCTGGTATGCAGGAACCGGGCCCATGGCCTCGTTTCCTTCTCCGGCCTCTGGTGTGGCGACCCCAAGACCCCAGATGTATATACACAGGTGTCCACTTTTGTGACCTGGATCTGGGATGTGGTTCGGCAGCAACCGCATGGCCCCCAGCCTAACCCCTCGCCCAGGACCACTGGGACCCCCACAGGAGCTGCCTGAACCACAGCAGTGCTGTGTACATGAGTGAGATGACAATAAATGTAAACAGCTCTGGCCTGGAAAATTCTGTGGCTGGGGCAGGGGGTCCATGGAGCCCCCAAACCCAGGAAGCTTGGCATGGGGGTAGATAACAATTCCAAACAAAAAGTATCAAAAATAACTGAATAAAATGTTAACTGACAACCAGACATGATGGTCTACCCACATTCCTTGAGCTTCTTCTTGGCTTCAGGGTGGCTAAGGGTCCAGATGAGCCACTTCCTTCCTGAGCCACTTGCTTGGCCTCCTTTCTCTTCCACTCACCTCTACCACCACCCTACCTGTCTCAGCCCCCTCTTTGGCTGCTGCCCACTGCACAGAGATGGACACTGAGGCCCAGAGATGGACAGTGGCTGCCCCTAGGACATATGCTCATGTGTCCCCTGGACGCTTCCAGAGCCCCCACTTACTACCCTAACAGCAACCTAGGCTCCAGGCTAGTAACCCTCTACCAAAGTGGGCAGCACAGAGGCTTATAGAGAGAGGAGCAGACCAGGAATTGACCCTAAGGTGGATTTTTACAATCTTTATTTCTTTGGTGAGGCAGAACCCCAGGGTGGGGGAAGTTGCCTTATTGGGAGGCTTGGACAAACTCACCTACTCAAGGACACTTTTCTGGGTGTCATAGTTAAGGCACTTCCTGGGGGCTGGGAGAGAGTGAGCACACTGGCCCCTGCGCTCCTCACCCCAAACTTGAGGATGTGAATTCTCATATCTGGTCTGAGCCTCTGGTCTACACAAAGGCACAGGGAGGTGCCATTGAGTGACAGCCCAGAAATGGAGGGAATTGGCCCTAGGCTAGCATTGGGCGGGGTGGAGATCCTTGAGACTAGCTGGTGGTGAGAGAGGGTCCACCTAGGAACTGGGCCTAGAGGCTCAGCAAGGGTGGGCCTGTTGATACCAAGGGGTCCCTAGTTTGGACCTCACCTGTGACTGGGTCAGCAAGCACTGGGGGTGATGCTCAGACACATAGCTCCAGGAGGCCAGGTGTGCAGTGGGCTTTGGCATCTATACCCCACCTGGGAAGATGGATGAGTAGGGGCTCCTGAGCCCCATGAGGTCTCATCCTAAGTGGATTGGGTACCACTGGACAGGGTATCCTGTTCTGAGCTAAGGCCTGTGTTAGGAGGTACAGATAGTGCCTCCCCCACCAGGAGATAAGCTGGGCTTTTCTCAAGGGCCTTCACAGGACCTACTGGGTACATGGAGACAATGGGGAAGGAGAGTCCTAAATTCTTGGGCTAGTAGGGGACAGAGACTGCTTCTTCAGCCTGCCTGGGGGTCTGAGCATGTTCCAAGGCTCATGTATATGACACCCACGTCGTGGACCCCTCCTCGTCCCTTGGTTCTGTTCTAGAAGGCTAGGGTGTCTTTTTATTAATTGCTGGCAGAGAATCCCCAGCCCTCTTGGTGGAAGCGATAATTAATAGTTATCCCCAAGGGAGGAGGAGAGGCAGGTCCTCTTGAGCAGTAGTAGGGTGGCTGGGGTGGAGGCCCCACCTACCAGCACTGCATCCAGTCCTCCTCCCCCAATCCTTTCAAGATAATGGTTGCCGGGAAGGGTCCAGGGCTCCCCCAAGTGGTCCGGTCCTGGCTCTGGGGAGTGTCCATGGGACATAAATTAGGCTTTGCTGTGGCAATAAATAAAATGTGGGAGGCCGTGAACGCCAGGCCCAGGCTGCCCTGTAAGTCACACGAAGTTCTCTTCCTCTTCCTCCGACTCAGCATCTGATGGTTCAGGGGTGCCTGCTGAGCGGGAGGGACGAACAGAGAAATGGGGGTACAGAGAGGGGCTGGGGGCTACAGCCCACCACTGCTCCCCGCTTCGCCCCAAACCTGCGCAGCTGCCTGAGTGGCGCACTCCAATGGAACGGCCCAGGAAACAGGTGGCCTGGCGGAGGTGGCACGAGGACATGTAGGTGATGTTGTTGTTACCGCAGAGTTCCTGGCCCCGGCTGGAGGGCGCGGGGCAGGGCGCAGCACGGCACATCACGCAGTGGGCGCTGCCTGTCTGGTCCACCACGCAGGACTGTGGCCGCTGGCACACCACTTGGGCGCAGGACTCTGTGGGCGGGGCACCCGGGCGGGTCAGGAAGACGAACCCCGCCCACAACACTGAGTGCACGCTCAGGAGCTCAGGACGCGCTCCTGCGCGTTTGCCAGAAGTCACGACTCCTTCTAAGAGACCCTCCCACAGCCCAAGTCCAGCCTCAAGCCCCGCCCCCTGCAGTGTACCCACAAGCCCTCTGAGTCACGCTCCCGTCCTTCTCTCCCCATGTGAGCCCTAGAACCCCTTTCAAAACTTCCACCCGACTATTCCTTATTCTTGATCCTACAAAACACCCAATCCACTGACGATCTCTCAGGAGCATAAACACTCCTTTTATTAGACTCCACCCACGACCTTGCCACCACGGCCCCGCCTACCATAAGCCCGCCCCAATCCTCAGGAACTACACCTCCACTACCAGGCACTTTGTACTGGAGGCCGGCCCCTCCCCCAGGTCCCGCCCACACGCTCTGCCGCAGGGGTACTGACGCGCAGGCCCGGTGGCCCCGCCCCCGCAAGGCCCCGCCCCCCACGTACTGCGGCAGCGGCCTCTGTACATGACGCGCAGGTCCGGGTGGCCGCGGCAGCGCGCGGCGAGCAGCTCACACTCGTCACGGTAGGTGGCGCCGTCTGAGCCGCAGACCTGCAGGCGCGCTGGGATCTCCGCGCAGTCTGGCGTGCACTCGCAGCGCGGGCGGCCCCCCAGCATGCGGCATGCCTTGCCGGGGCCGCACTCCACGCCCTCGCACGAATCTGCGGACACAGGACACGCGCCGGTGGGCTGGGGCTCGTGGCGGTGGTCAGAGGTCTTCCGAGCCCACGGCGCCCCGCCCCGTGTTTTGAGGACTAGAGGCCGGGCCGGAGTGGGGGGCTGTCCGGAGTCGGGGCACACGGCGAGGATACTGGTTCGGAGTCTGGGTGGGGGGTCCATTGTGGGAGAGATTCAGTCACTGCCCGAGTGGACGCCTGGGGCTGGGGGCTGTGTCCAGAGGCGGGCTCAGTGTGGATAGGAAGGGCTTTCAGCCTGCTCTCGCTGACGTCTGTTCCCTGACTCGCGTTTCTGGGCAGGCCGGCGGGGGGCCCTGCTGCGTCAGCCCGGGGGTAGGGTGGGGGGCTCCACCCCATCCAGGCTGAGTACTTTCCCTTTGCTTGCCAGAACCTCCCCAGAGGAGGCTACAGGGAGGGCGGGGCGTCGGCGCCTGGCATGAGGCTCATTTCCTCGGGAGTGGGCCTCCCACCGCCGGAGCCCTCTGAACTAGGAGTTACCCATCCCCTTGCAGCCCCATTTCTCAGGTAGGGAAACAGGTCTGACCTGGGGAAGTCTCTCTCACGTCCCTGCCCCTTCTCAGGCCCCGACTCCGGAAATGCAAATCACACCCCACTAATGGCTGCTCCTGTCTCTCAGGCCCTCCCTGGCTCTTTGCCGCCTCCCAACCACCCTAAGAGGTCATGCTGTTTGGAAAACTGAGGCCTGTCGCTGCTGTGAGTGGAGGAGAGCCAGGAGCACCTCAGCATAACTCCAGGCCAGATCCTGGTTGGACCCCTCCCAGCTCAGTTTTTTTGCTGGTGGGTCTGGAGCGCAGACTCTGAGCTGAGTTTACACTCTAGCCTCAGTTTCCCTGTGTATAAAATGGGGCTGATGGGGGAACCCATCTTATAGGATGAGCATAAAATAAGTGGATGCTCCTAAGAGAATGGCCTGCACCCCCGCATTGGTAACCCCTGCCAGGGCATGTGGGCTGCACCTGGGTGCCTCCCGCCCACATGCACATCTGGAAATGTTTCGCCTGTGTGGCTTCATGAAAGAGGAAGAAGTGGGGGTGGGGGGCTAAGTTCCTGTCCCAAAGGCCAGAATGGGTGTGTGTGTGTCCTGGACCATCTCATGTCCAGGCCAGGCACTTTTTGAAGTCTGTTCTCCTCCCAGAAGCCAGAGGGGGTTCTAGAGTCAGCCAGGGCACGTGGCTGTGAGTTTAGGACCACCCAGCCAGGCTGATCTGGGATTAATCACATCCCAGAGCCCAACCAGGCTCCTCAGCTTGGCCTTCTTCAGGTCTGCAGCCCTCAGCTCCAGCCTCCTCCTGGCTCCCCTGCCCTGACCCCACCCACCAGGACCTCACTCCAGGCCATGTCTCTGCTGATTCTCTCCCCCGTACTTTCTACAGCTGGCAAACTCCTAATCATCCCCCAACGCCCTGTCTCTAATGCCCACCTCCTTCAAGTCATGTCTCTCCTGGGTCCCTGCAGGTTCAGCCCTGACCACAGGGGCCTGGGAGGGCCCCCGACCCCTTCTCCAGGGCAGAGAGTACCTCTTGACTTACTAATTCAGCCCTTGAAGAGCTTGTCTGATGGAGGAGGCACATTTCTCAGAACATGGTCCAGAAGGCACATACTTACTAAACATGCAGCTGGGGGCCCACCATAGTTCCCTGGAATCTGTGGGGTTAAGGGCAGATAAGGACAGTTGGGAACACTGTGGGGTCACAAACTGGAATGGCCAGTCAGGAAAATCTACTTTCCCAGGAGTTAGCTGTGAGTCAAATGTACTTCCACAGGTGGGGTGCAGGTGGGAAAGGCTGTCCTGGCAGAGGGCTTGGGGTAAGTAAAGGCCTCCAGGCTGGAAACCAAGCTGGGGAGTCCTCAGAGCTTCTTCCTGAATCTTCAACTGAGGGAGGCTGGGATCCCCTCCACAACTGCTCCTCCCAGCAGCCTTGACTTCCTCCTGCATACCCCTGAGACAGGGAGCTCACTTCCAGCAGGTCGACCTTCGACCATAGTGACCCTGGATTGTGGCCGACACCTGGGGTCTCACCTTTGCAGGGGAGGCACTGGACGAGGCCCAAGAAGCCCAGGAGGCTGATCTTGTTCCCTGGGTGGGTGAAGTTGGACCAGGCAGTGTTGATGTTGCCAGAGGCACAACACTCAGCCTGGCTCACGTCGGTCTTCAGCACCAGGCTGCAGGTGGCTTCTTTGCCCTGCTGGAGCCAGCAGACACCACCTGTGGACCAGGGGGGCAGTTCCTGTGGGACCAGAGGTGCCCTCCTGTACCACTCCTGACACCCAGACCTTGACCTTTCACCCACCTCCCAGTCTGGGGGATGCATACAGTTGTTACTCAGTAATTACAAAGAGGATGATCTGCCCTCAACCTGGGAAGGAGGGGCTACAGATCTTTTTGAGATCCTCCTCTCTGAACTCCACCCCCTAACTGTTCTGCCACCAACTCCTAGCCAACCTCCAACCATCCCAGGAAGCTCTTCTCTATCCACCCCCCCACACTCCAGCTACCCCCCTACCCACCCAGGCCTGGCATCCTGCCCAATCAAACACCCAGAGCTGGATGTGTCAGGCTCAGTAGGCCCTGGAGCCACCTCTCCTGCCTCTGCCCTCTGTCTAAACAGCATCCGAGGGCATGCAGAGCCCCCTTTCCTGGCAGC